AGCCGTTGGCTGAATGGGAGACAACAAAGTGGAGGCAATTTTCTGGGAAGGACATTTCTCAGTCTTTGCCAAGCTGGATTCTTTGGCCTCCAAATCCAGGTAGAAAACAGAGGATTAGAAACTACTTTGCAAGGCAGAAGGGCCTCGATTATATGCTCTTTCAGAACAATTTCTACTTAAAATCTTTTCTATCCAGCCATTTTCTTTGGATGTTAATAGCCTGGCTCATGTCTTAGTATTTCTTATCACTGGTTGGAAACAAGGCTTTTTAAAAATGGCAATGTGCTAATCTGAGTATTTAGTTATTTTTGAGCAGCCTTGCACAATTCCAAATCAAGCAATTAAAAAAAGAATGGCTCTCCGTTTAGCCGTTCCTATGACTGTAATAATATTATTCCTATTCCTTGAGCAACTTTTTAAAAAAAAAGTTATTGTAAACTAATAGTAGGAAGAGTAAGTACCAGAAGGTGAGTTAAGTACTGGTCTTAAAAAAACATTTCCTAATAAGAATCTCAGGGAACGAATTACAAATGATGGTATCCAAACCACAGGCTTCAGAGCAGGCTAAGCTGACTGAGGGCAACTTGAATCTTCCATTCCCCATTCAATGTTGCTCAAGGACAAGAAAACACCCAGGCCCAAAAAAGGGGGAAAATGGAAGGAGAGAGTGCAATATACACCAGCTTGACTGCCTGCAGGAAAGGGAGAATACAAATTCAATAGATAAATTTCCTCCTCTTACTTCAGCTGGAGGTTCAACCACTGTTTCAGCTGCACCAGAAAGAGCAGACAACTTCGTTTGAGTCTTTCCTGTGGGGGACACAGAATTTTAAAGTGCAGAATTATTAAAATAGGAGGAGGCATTCTAGAGAAGAGAAGACATAGAGAAGATGAGAGAGCTGGGATCTCTCTGGGGAATGAGAGGTCCTTCGCTTACCTCCTGAGGTTTCCTGACTTTGATCTTCCTGTGAGATCCTTCTGAAAAACGGCTCCTGAGGGGGACTGGATGGATTCCTCCTTCCCTCAGGATCTCTGATGCCCATAGCGAAGGACTTGAAATAGGAGGCAGGAGAAAGGAAGAAATAACAGACATCAAACAAGATGAGGTGGATTCTTGTTCTCTGAAGACAACTTCGAAGCCCCCAGTGTCCATAAACAAGGCTGGAAAGTGAGAAAGGAACAGCTGTCCCAAATCTATCTTCTAGAATGGATAACGCATCAATGTCCCACAAGAATTAGTGAAACATCTCCACATATTACAAATGCCAGAAAACTCTCATCGGGAGGGATTAAGAATTCAAGCAGATTGTTTATTCCCTTCAGACCCCTTCTGGGCTCCCAAAATGAAGATCTCCCACATGCAACTTGACCTGCTTCTTCTGCTCCTCTGCCTGGCTCAGGAGGAAGCCTTCCGCCAGGGCCACTGCCGGGGAGCTGGTCTCTGCTCCACACTCCCACACCCAGCTCTGCATCTGCAAGGGCAGAAGGGCCAGGAGGTGCTCCAGAACAACCAGGTCCAGCATCTGTGCTTTTGTGCGCTTTTCAGGTCTCAACCATTGACAAAAGTAGTGGAGACGGCTGGAAAGTCCTCGGGGACCCTCAGCCTCCTGGTATTGGATGCTCCTGAAGTTCTGGGGCCGAACCTCTGAACGGATGGTTTCTTCCTCCAGGATCTTCAGCCCAGTTCTTGCCCAGATCTCCCCACAGCTGCCCAGGCTGAACAGCAGAAGGGCCTTCTCCAGTTCCCTCAGTTGCTAAGGGTTGTGTCTCCATTCTTTCTCTGTCCTGTAATGCAACTCCAAAGGGGTCCAAGTAATCTTGTGGCTCTCCAAATGCCTTTTCATTCATAGGACTGTTCCTCTAGCTGCAGGAATGACCGCAGCAGGCCATTCATCCCTCTTTGTCCAAGAGAGAATTTTGTCTGTATGTGAAGACCTACAAAAGGCTTCTAGTTCG